TGTCTTCCCAGGGAGGTGGTGGAATCACCATCTCTGGATGTGTTTAAAAAAAGACTGGACATGGCACGTGGTGCTATGCTCTGGTTGTGGTGTTAGGGCATGGGTTGGACTTGATGATCTTGGAGGTCTCCTCCACCCTCATGATTCTGTGATTCTCTGCAGGGAGATCTCGTAAGGAGTGTCTGCACAGTGCCATCCCTGGATAGCCCATCCAGCTGCAAGAGGATAGCCAGTCAAAGCTGGGTCAAGGCTCCAGCTGCTCTGCCAGCAGCTCCAGTGGGCTTCACCTGCTTTGGGTGGTATTTGACCCGTCAGAATCCATGTAACTCCTCGTGTCTGTGCTGGAGAGAGGTGTCACAGCACAGCCCTGCTGGTTCCATCCCTGCAGCACAGGGCAGTGGCCTCCCCTTTACCCGTGGGCAAACTGAGGCACACCACCACATCTCCCCAGCAGCCAGGTGCCAAATTCCAAACTGCTTCAGATCTTTGCTGAAAATCCTTGGAGTATCCCAGTCCAGGCAGTGACAAAACACATGAGCACCAGAACCAGTTACTGTCTTACACAGACCCAACAACTCCAGCCCTGATTTCCCCACCATTTCCAGCTCCTCTCCCCAGCAAAGAAAGGTCCCTTCAGCCACCCACAGACCCACCTCATCCTCATCTGCAGGGACTCCTTGCCCAGGAGACCCGGGCTGCCCAACCAGCACAGGCACTCTGCACTGCTGCACCAGGCTCAGCCCATCTCCATCTGCTGTTTACAGTGAATTAGCTGCACTGTGGGGCCATGACCACCTTTTGTTTCCTTTTTATACAGTACCTGGCCCTGCCAGCTCGGTACAGGAGGTGTTTGATTACACAGCTAATAAATAAACAAGAACCTTGATCCTCTTCAGCATGAGGCTGTCCAAGGCTGCAATTTCCAGGGAAACTGCTCCAGGCTGTGCTTGTGACGCTATTAGTGAGTCAAATGTGTTTGGGAGAGGAGATGTTCCCAGGATGAGGAGAAGGTACTGCTAAACCAGCCCTTCCTACGTGCAGCAGGGAGTGGAAAACCCAAACTGGTTTGAGCTCAGTGTCAATAACACAAGCCATGCTCTGTGCTGGACACACCCTGAACACAACAGCCAAAGAGCTGCTGCTTCTTGCAGAAGCAGCAGGGGTGGCTGAGGGAAGGTGGGGAGATGATCACTTCGAGGCAACTACTGCTACAGCATCTCCCTCACACAGGGGGTTTGCAACAAGGTCTTTCCTCCTGAAGGCCACCTGGTCCTGCTCCACCTTCCATAAGTTGTATTCACTGCCCTGATGTCCCCCTGACATCATCCACACGCTCCTGTCCCCCACACCAACACTGCCACACTCATTCACTCACAGAATGCTCTGCTGGATTACAGAGACCTGAAAAGCCCTGCCAGGAGCAGCCTGACTCCTCCATCCCCAGGGCTCTGCTTTCACCCTGGTTCGAGGCACAGAGGATGGGACACAGCTCGAGGTGCAGCTCTGCCCCATCTGCTCACAGCTGCTGTGAGCATCTCCCCTCCCAACAATCCTCCTCTTCCTCCATCTCAGACCTCTTCAGCATCTGAGATGTTCTCTGTTCCCTTTGACTCAGAATATCAGTGGTTGCCTAGATTACAAAGAAGCAAAAAAAAAAAAAAACAAAAAAAAAAAAAACAAAAAAAAAAACCTGGAAAAAAATCCCAAGAGGATATTAATCAGGAGTCAGAACTCCCCAGCTCTGAAGCATCGAGGAGGAGCAATATTTAAACTCCCAACCTGACGGAGTAACTTTTGAATTATCTTTCATCTTCCCCTGCATCAGATGCATTCTAATGACATTAACTTGGCTTCACTCTAGTGAAAGTGGCACTGGTGCTAGCGAGGCAGGGAGATTAAAACATATGAAATAAATGTTCCCAGGGTGACTGACAGTATAATGGCATTCCAACAGGCAGCTCAATCAGTGCGAGACTAACAAAAGATCAGAGGGAAAGAGCCAGATTCGCAGTATCACCCGCAAACACAGATATTTTCTTTTAATCCAGGCTTTTTTTTTTTTTTTTTTTTTTACATGACTGGCTCAGCCCCTGTTCTTGGGAGTTTTCCCCAGGCTGTAGAGCCGTTCTGGGGTGGGGGTTGGCAGTTGAACTCTATTAAAGCCCATGCTCACCTGCTATTGAACCCTGCTGGCTCAATAGCCTTGTTCAGGGCTGGAGCAGCAATCCCAGCGCTGAAGTCAATGCGAGCATTGTGGGCTGCCCCCTCCCTCCTTTTATCCCCACTGGATGAGGGGACTCAAACCCAAAAGAGAAAAAGCTCCTCTGGGCACACAGCTGCCCTTGATATTCAACCCACACACGGGCCCACACGGAGGTGTCCCACTCACCAAATTGCATCCCACAGACGCTTCTGACAAAGTCAGCTTCTCCAGGGACCAGGGGCTGCTCTGTTACTCCGTTTATCTCCTGGATGATGTTTCCAAGCACCCCAGCAGGTGACCTGCATGTCACCAAGCCCGGCTGGCTGCTCCAGGAGCATCACCCCACTGCTGCAGCCACAGCCCAGCTGTCCCCCCTGCTCACAGCAGCTGCTAGGGGGGCAGCTCTTTTATTTCCAGGGAAAATCAGGGCTCTCCTCATCTCTGAAACCCCACAGCCACCCTGTGCCTGTGGCAGTCTACCTCCGTGCTCCAGTGACAGCAGCATCAGCTACACAGGCTGGCTGCCTCTTCAATCTCTGCAACAGCCACCAAATTATTTTGTTCCCTGGACACTGGCTGCTTGTGGAGGCTTCCTGCAGGGGCTGAAAACAAACCCAAGTGTTTATACCTTGTAATGACCTGTTTAGTCTGACTGCTGGGAAACAGCAGCAGGAATGAAACCTAAGCCTCTGATGCCAAAGATAAGGAATCCCAACCTCTGGCAAACATCTGGCCATTTCCCCAGCGCTGAACCCTCATCAAAGGTTACAACAAAGCCTGCAGAGAGGGACAGGTAGGTTTTTAAATGAGTATTTGTCACCGGTGACCAGCACGCTGGGCAGCTCTGCCACCACGCCGGGGCTCTGCGTGCTAGCAAAGATTACTCACACAAGCAGAGCCAGCAAGATTAGGTCTCAAAGGAATAATCCCATACAAAGAATTCACTGTACCTCAGCCTCCACAGGGCTAATAAAAAAAAAAAAAAAAAAAAAAAAAAAAAGGAAAGAAAAAAAAAAAAAAATGAAACTCAACTCAGCACATCAAATACCAGAACAAACAAACTGCAGCAATTGATGGCAGAGCTCATGTGCCAACTGCTAAAACATAATGAGTACACAAACAGCGCACGGGACAGCACGGCCAGTGAATAAGAGCTGCAAAATCAAGACCAAACCTCTGGAAAATTATATCCCCGACCCTGCACTATGCCCGAAATGCCTGTGGCTCCTCCTCTGTCTAGGTCTGCACTCCTGCTTCCAGAAGCAGGTCTATCCCACTGCCATCTGCTCCTCAAAGCTTCCAGAGCATCTCTGATAAATGAGCTCTTCTGCATATCCACCATAAATTTCAGTAGATGCCACCCCACAGCCATGTGTTTATTTTTCAAAGTCAAGACTCTGATTAGAGTTCTTGAGGTTTTTCAGATTGATTTTTAACGTTTCCTTTCCGCTACAGGGTCAGCATGTGGAAATTGGATAAGCACAGACTAAAAATATAATTTTGTAGACAGCTTCAGCCCACACGAAAGGAAATCTTTCTTCTCAAGAGAACCCACACTTTGCAGCCTGCAGAAACCCAGCGTGTTTCTGACACCGGCAAGGAAACTCACCCTTTCCACGTGTTAAGACTTTTACATAAACACTCGGACTGTCAGTACTACCCTACTCCACATTTCAATACTGTCACCACAAGCTGAGCCAAAATCCTCTTCTCTCTGCTAATAGCCGGGCTTTATGCGAAAGTAAAACAAACTCCAGGGGTAGCCAAAATGCTCTCCTGATCCCGTGTTCATTCAAGAAAGCCACGAACACAAGACACACTCCTGGAGACAGCAGTTTCACTCTCACCCTAACCAAGCCCTCCCATAGGAATCTGCCGGAAAGATGCTCCTCTACTAACGTTAAAACACACAATAAAAATATCCTGAACAACTTCAGTGAGAACCCTCTTGGCTTTAACGTTTACTGGCTTGTTAAACAAAACGCTCATTCACTGAAAGAACCACCCGACCGGCCTTTTGCTGGTATTCCGCAGGCAAGGTGAGCATGTGGGGCATGCTCCTGGAAGGGACGTTTTTGGTCACGTTTTTAGTCACTACTGGGATGCTGAAATATTGACGTGGGAAAGAGGGGTTTTTGTCCACACTGGCGACAGGAAAAGTGGCTTCTAGCGGCTGCTGGGCTGGGAGCTGCGCTGATCCGCTGGCTAGGCTGCGGGGCGGATCGGCTGAGAATCTGCGCTCAGCCACAGGTTTTGCAAAGAGTTGGGGGATTTGAAAGATATTGGGGAGCCGTGCTGCTGATGACAGGGTTTAGCTGTGCCTCAGCATCCCCGCGAAGTCCTCAGGGCAGCGGGGAAGCCACCGCTTGTCCCTTTGTGTGTGTCGGGCAACACAAGAGCCGGGGTGCAGCGGGCAGCGCCGGGGGACCCCGGGAGCGCCGGGGACAGGAGGGTCCTGGAACGGGGGCACCGGGAGAGGCGGGCTGGAGGATTCGGGAGCAGGCACGGAAGAACGGGTGGAACGAGGGGCTGGGGGTGAAGAGTGCTGGATGAACGGAGGAACGAACACGGGGCTGGCCGAGGAGAGGATCGGCGGGTTTGGGGAGCGAGGACGGGGCTGGCGGGAGCGGCGGCCAGCGGAGGGCACTGGCGGCTCGGCCACCGCTGCATCCCCATCTCCGGCCCCATCCCCATCCCCATCCCCATCCCCATCCCCATCCCCATCCCCATCCCCATCCACATCCACATCCACATCCACATCCACATCCCCAGCCACGTCCCGCCAGCCGTCCCGTACCTGTACCAGGCGAGTCCCCGCTCGTAGTTGCGGTCGAAGAAGTGGGGCTCGGCACCGACGGCGCGCACGTCGGGGTGCACCCGCAGGAACTCCAGCAGCGCCCGCGTCCCCCCCTTCTTGACGCCGATGATGATGGCCTGCGGCAGCCGCTTGCTGCCCTCGCCCAGCAGCAGAGCCAGGGTGCCGGCAGTGCCCGCCGTGCCCGCCCGGCCGCCGCCGCCCCCGGCCGGCAGCTCCGCGCCCGGCGCCGCCTCCTGCCGCCGCCGCCGCTGCTTCAGCCGCTGCAGGAGCCGCTTGCGCCGCGCCGCCGCCGCCTGCCAGGGGGGCAGCTCGGCCGAGCCGCCCAGCAACTCCCCGCCGCCTCCCTCGTCCTCCTCGGATGCGGCGCCGGCGGCGATGATGGGTCCGGGCAGCGTCTGGCAGCGGTCGGCCAGGCAGTAGAAGACGTAGAGGGACATGAGGAGGGAGCAGAGCATCACCAGGAACTTCTTGAAGATGCTGCGGGGCAGCGGCTCGGCGGCGGGGGCGGCCGCCGCGCTCACGGCCATGCTACCCCGAGAGCGCGGCCGGCCGCCCTGGCCATGCTCCGCCGCCGCCCCCCGGCGCGGCCCCTCCGCGCTGCGCTCCGCGGGGCCGGGGGGCTGCGCGCTGCCGCATCCCCGGCGCGGGGAGCGCTTCAGGGGGGCATCCCCCGCGGGGCCCGGGGGGAGCGCGGGGCCGCCCCCGCTGCCGCTCCTGCGGGCTCGGCGCGGCTGCGGGCACCGGGGCTCGACGCGGGGCTCCCACGTGCGGAGCCCGCCGCGGAAAACTTCGGCGGAGGCATCGCCGGGCGCGGGGCGGAGCGCTGCCGGCGGCGGGGCCAATGGGGCGGCGGGGGCGGGGGGCAAGGCCGCCCCCGGAGCGGGCGGACCCCGCGGGGAAACCGCTGCCGAGAGATTTAGGGGGAGCGGGGGTGACCGGGAGGCTGTCCTGGGTGATGCGGAGGTGTCCGGGAGGTTGTCCCGGGGGATGCGGGGATGCTCCGGGGGATGTCCCGGGGGATGCGGGGGTGGCCGGGAGGTTGTCCCGGAGGATGCGGGGATGCTCCGGGGGATGCGGGGGTGGTCGGGAGGTTGTCCCGGGGGATGCGGGGGTATCCGGGAGATTGTCCCGGAGGATGCGGGGGTATCTGGGAAGTTGTCCCGGAGGATGCGAGGATGCTCCGGGGGATGCGGGGGTGGCCGGGAGGTTGTCCCGGAGGTAGGCGGATGCAAGGATGCCCCGCAGGCTGCGCCGGGAGGTGTGGGGGTGCCCCAGAAGCTGTCGCAAGGATGCCTTGAGACTATCCCGCGGGGCAGGGAGGAGATCTGGGAACTGTTTCCCAGTTTTCCTCCCGGTGCTGACTGCTCTCCAGCCCCAGTGGGACACCCTGCTGCCCACGGGCAGCTGCTTTGGCCGCCGAACTCCGCAGGACTTTTCTGTCCAGCACATGCGGTGCAGTGAGACCCTGGTGGTGTTTGGCTGACCGCGCTGGCCACCCGCCTGTCCGGCCACTCAGGTTTTTAAAACTAACCCCCCTGCATCCCTCCGGACCTGAGAACACATTCCTGATATGCCAAATAATCCACCCTGACAGACACAAATCCCTTTGCATGGAAGAACAGTCCCCCTTAAGCTCAGCGAAGCCACTGATGGGTGTAAAACACGCTCACGGTATCACAACCAAGAGAAACACCCCAAATCAGACTTTTCCCCTCTAATTTCCACAATCTGCCCCTCCTAGGCTGGCTGCAGAATCTGGCCCACGGTTGGTAAGAAATATCTGCAAACGCAACACGATATTGCTCTTGGAATTTGCTCTTCTCCTTAGAGAGTTCATAAAATGTGGAAATAGCTCTCAGCTTCGTGGCTCGGCTGCCTGATTCTAAGGGCTTCGCTATTTCATTGCCTGTGGGAATGCCCTCTTAATTTGAAATGTTTGTCATAGATTATAGAATTTTCAAACAAACTTGCACATGAAACACTTGACTTAGGTCTTTTTTTTTTCCTTCTGTTTGGTGTGGACCTAGCTGAGGACTTAAACTTCAACTACTTGGAAATAAAGCTGGTGTATCCACAAATTATGCAATGAAAAGAGGGGGGAAATTGCATTGAATTCTAATCAGCCATCTGCAGAGCTGGCTGGCTAATAAAAATGTGTTTCCAAATAGTAAACAGAACAAAATTAATAACAAATGCTATTTGCAATGAATTACTCTACGACATCTCAGTGTGTTTGGTGACTTCAAGATAATGTAGCATTTCAGGTATTTCAGTGCTGCAATAAATAAGTAGATTTACAAAATGCTATAAGCAGGTTAGGCCACCAACACCTCTAGGCAACTACTTACATCATTAGGAATCTAAATGCCTTTATAAATCTGTGCTCTGATCCAGCTCATTGAAGTCAATGAAAAGATTTTGCTGACATCAATGGGCTTTGGACTGGGCCCTGCAGAAGGGCAAAAGTGGTTTGACTTCTTATTATTCTCATTATGATACCTTTTTCCTAGACACTTAAAACAGTGCTACACTTTCTGTTTGAAAAAAAAACGGTCTTTTCACATGGAGAAAAACAGAAAAGAGAAGTGAAATAAGTGTGAACGAGCGTAGAGCATGTATCTGCTGGGATTGCATTGCAAGACTTACGTTTGCAGCATTTTTCCTGGAAATATTTGTGTGAAACTCAGCTTTCCTTTAAAGAGTCACTAGCTGACTAGGGAAAATATGACCAGAGCCTGTATAAAAAGTTTCAGTGTCTAGAAAGCAATAAGCTAAATATATCTATATTTAAAAGAGCCCTACGATATTTAAGGCAAACTTGTGATATTTTTACAGACCCTGACTCATGGTTTCTGCCTCCTGGGGCTGAAGGCACCAGTAATTCTGCAGCCAGGAACAGCTCTCCAAGAAGGAAAGTGTCTTAATGCTTTAGAAAGGGCAATATAGGGAAATGGTTTCACCCGTATTGCTGTGGACTCTGTTAGTACAGCTGCAAATCTGAGATTCTTTATTAGCAGCAGACTGCTTTGGACCTTATTTTTGGATGAGTTTTTCTTGCTACAGAGACCATTTGATGAAGGCTGTACTATAAAGCCAGAAAAATTATGTGCCTGAGATCACGGCATCAAGTGCTGAGAACTTACTCGTCTTATCTATTTTAGCCCTGCTGCAAAAAGAACCTTTCTCAGGGATAACTTAAGGGTTTTTAACGACTTAGAGCTTGCAGCAAAAGTTGCTTTTCATTTTACTCAGCCTCTTGCACAACTGACTTAACATTTTCAGTGCAGCCTCTTTCTTTGCCCCTTAAATTTCTGTTTGCCCATCTCAGAGCCTTTCATTGCACCCATCACAGACCCAGCATGGCTCTCCCACAGCAGAAGGTGTTTGGGTCCCTGGGGGGGATCCCAGGGCAGCTCTGCACACCAGGCTGCCCCAGGGGCACTGGTCACTGTCCCCAGAGTGCTGGCAGGGTTGGGGCAGTGTGGCCACCCCCAGGGCTGTGCCCCATGGCTGTGACTCGCAGCTTCCTGGCACCAATCCTGCTGCTGGCACGGGCTCAGCCCTGGGATGGTGCTGGCAGGTTCTCTCCTCCCTGCTCCTGTTTGCACTTGCTCCTTACTTTGCACCCTTCCTTTCTCCTTTTATCAATGTACAGTTTTATTGCTCGCTGCACTCCTGCCTCCCCCCAGGAATGCTCCAGTCATTTCGGGTGTTGAGGGTGAGTGGGGCACCTCTCCTGGCATGGCTGGTGCCAAAATCTTCCAGCAAGGCTTCCTACTCCAAATGGGCTGATTTGGGATGCCTCTCACTGAAAAAACACACCTGCTTGCCAGGAGAGACCTTTGGCTTAAACCAAGCAAGCAAAATCTTCTGCCCCGTGGCAAACCAGAGCTGCAGCCTTTGCTCCCACCATCTGACATTTCCAGGTGTCTCCATCCAGCTGGGAAGGGGGAAGGCTGGCACCTCGGGTGCTTTCTGCATGCACAGCCCGTGGCAGCCCCGCTGGGATTGCTGTAGTGTTTCCCCTTTCCCAGTGACCCGTGGCACAGATGGGATCAGGGGTTAAACTGGGAGTACGGTGGAAAAGGGACCGGGAGCCCGAGGCTGGTGCAACTTAAGGAGTGATTCTAAGGTCTGAAGGGAAAGGGAAGCCCTGCCTGTCAGGAAGCTGCTGCTGAAGAAAACATCCCTTTGTGCCGGGGAGATGGAGTATGGGACAGAGCAGAGCGAAACAGATTGATAACCAAGGGGTGATGTGACCCCACATCGGCTCCTACAACAAAAGCCCCTTCATCTGAAATGAATAGGAACAATGGCTAATGGGGACAGGCCAGCAGTGGCCAAGGATCTGAGAGCCAGGGGAGAGGGAGGAGGCAATGACAGCTCCTGTTCTACCCAAATCCTCTATTGAGCTCAATAATCTCCTGGGCTTTCCCTCCCCTTGAAATCAGACAGAAAGTTCAAGGACTTTTTGCTTTTATATTGCAGGAACACGCATTGTTCTGGAGAGCCCTTGAGGTGTGCTGGGGCAGGCTGAGAGGCCAGGGAGGAGCTGCTGCTGTGCCCTGGGATGTCCCCAGCCCTGGGCTGGCACTGCTGGCAGGAGCACCGTGCCTGCTGCCCTCATCCCAGCTCTCACTGCCTCCCAAGGGGCTCCCAAACCCACTGAGATTTTTGGGGATGTGTGGATGCCCAGAGGCTGGCGGAGTCAAATGCTGTCAAATTATTTAAAAAAAAAAAGAACTGTGGTGTTTCTATTAGGGGGCCATCAGGGCCTCCTTAGGCACAGCACGTGCTGAGGGTGTTCAGGGCAGTAGCAGAGCCATGAGGACACTGGGAATTAGGAGCTGCATCCCCGTGGAGCATCAACAGAGTCCAAGCAGATGGGACAGGTGATGGAGAGGTGTTGGAAACCTGATCATCAGCTCCAGTCCTGGTAGTTTTGTTGGAAAAGTATCTTGAAATATTGAACCAGAGACACTAAAAATATAGGGATGGGATTTTGCTTTGGTTTTTAATTTTTTTTTTTCTTTTTGAAGGACAAAAGTATCCACAGGAAATACCATGTAGACCAGGGAAAAAAAGAAAAAAAATAAAAGTTTTGAGAGACTGTTTTCACTCTGCACTCTCTTAACCTGACAGAATGACTTGGTCTGTTGTATAATTTGCAATGCCTGTGCCCAAAAGCAAGCAGAGCTGTGAGCAGAAAGCCAGTGAAATCTGAGTCCTGCTTTGGCTGGGGCTGGAGGCCACAGATCTCTGTACCTGATGCCTGCCCATGGCACTGAGTGAATGCACCTTGCTCCTGCTACCTCCTGCCCAGCTGGGATGGGGCCAACTTGATTAGAGAGCTGGCACGGGGCACGAGGACATCTGGGAGGCCTCAGATCAGGAGCATCAATTAATAAGAACCAGAAAGAGGAGGAGACTGACTTGGACTCAGAGCCACGGCAGGAGCTCCACGCTGCCAGCCACGGTGCCCAGCTGCTGTAAATGGGGTCCTGACCTCTGCCCCTGCCCTTCCCAAGGTGGCTGTTGGAATTTGGGGTATTGGTGATTCCAAAATTGCAAAAAGTCT